GAATTGTTTCATGTACCGACCACCTTTGGTTTTATCTCTAGGGCGGTAATGAATTGTTTCATGTACCGACCACCTTTGGGTTTATCTCTAGGGCGGTAATGAATTGTTTCATGTACTGACCACCTTTGGTTTTATCTCTAGGGTGGTAATGAATTGTTTAGTGTACTGACCACCTTTGGTTTTATCTCCCATGAGTTTAGACTATTACATACGGTTAATACTAGCTATATTAAATTTCAGTTTATAGTATGGCATAATTACTTTAGCTACAATAGTTTGCTCATTACTTTCTCTACCATATTAAGAGATCAGTTAAAAGTCAAGTGCGAGAATAATTTGCCTTGTCAAAGTTTGTTATAAAGTAATTGAACCTGCCTTAGTGGACTTTGACAAAAAAAGATAATTATTTATAGCTGGATACAACTAGTAATATAATGTATAACAGACATTTGTATATATACATTTGACTTTAAAACGAATGGACTGTGTTGCTGTTTGTTTATTGTTGAAATGTATCGACAAGAAGTCGCAGACACCCACTGTAAAGGAAATCGGCCATGTAAAAACCTGACTGGTTTGTTTTTTCAGTCCTAGCTATTTTAATAGAGTGGACTAAATAGTGTTCTTATAAAAAGTTGAATTCTAGATTTCATAAGATAAGCATCACCGATCAGTTTATCTTATTTTAACAAATCTGTAGATTTATAAGTTCAGTGAATGACATTAAGAAAAAATGCCAAAAATATTTGGCATTTTTAAGTTATTTTAAATTTACTGAAAATTGATAAATTTTATAAAAATATTAATTGCAGATGTTATTAATAAAAAAAATTAACTCAAGGTTTTTTAATACTCTGCAAAACTATTGACAGGAATTTGCATGCTGACTTTTTTCAGTTGACAATTAATATATATCAAATACCAAGCATTACTTGTGTGAGATAAAAGCATGAACAATTTATTTAAAGAGATTTTCTGATGTTGCTATTTTAGGAGGACTAAGGATTCAATTTCTGTGTATTGTATCATCAGATATATTTCAGACCTTTCAGCTATGATTATAAAATACAGAAGGCTGGTTTTTATCTGAGTAATGGGGCTTGTTAGTTTCACCTGAGTGATCTCCAGTCTTTGCTGTGGTGTGTAAATTCTTAGGTGCCATTTATGATCCAAGCTGGATGATGTTTAGGAGCTGTTAAGCAGAACCATGCCAAATTCTAGAGCTCAAAAGTTAAATCTTAAGTAATAATTCAACCTAAATTCTTGTTGGATTTCTCAGTATTTTGTAAATGATGTATTTGCAGGTGAATGGAGATGACTTTGATTGGAGTGTTGATACTGATGATTATGCTGTTGCTAAGCGTATGGAAGATCTAACTGCTGGGGCTAAGGGACTCATGTTGAATAATGATTTGGAAAAAACCCAGCAAGAACGGGTGAACATATTCTATGAATTTGTAAAGGCAAGTTGTGTTCATTTTGTTTACTTCAAAAGAATATCTGAGATTATCTAGCTTTCCATCTAGTCCTAGCACTCACTTTTTGGTGTTTTGGGTATAAATTAAAAAAATCACTGAGCATACTCAGAATAAAACATTTGGCAAGATCATTGGAAGTCTAGTGTCAAGTAATATGTTTATGCTGAAATATCACTGATTTTATAGGGGATGAATTGTTTTTATATTGTGTGTGTGTGGAACATTTGAATTTGATTTTATGTTGTGTGTATCAGTGAAATACAAGATGTAAATTTTTACTGTAATTAAATTGTACCATAATTATTTCATGCTGTATGAACATAAATATTTTTAACCATTGTCACTTGGCATATTTTATGAAAATCTATTAGACATCTCAAATATGCTGTTTCTGTAACACACACATAATTTCATGGTATCAGAATTCTTTGTAAAAGTATTATTTATAAAATCATGGTATCTGTAAAATAGACCAGACTAGCTAAACACTAATGATACTTTGTAATTGTTTCATACCAACATAACTGTAAAATATATCAAAATGCTTCATCCAATAAGTACATTTGTATCCATTAAATAATAAAAAAATGCATACAGCTTTAATTGTCACACTAATTAGTATGCAAACAACAATCTACACCCTGATGAATTCAAATTCGATGAC